ATAAATTCCTACATGACTCTATCAAAGACTTTCATTTCTATTCCAATACATCCTTAAACTGTCAATCAGTAAGTACTTCATGTATCTTTTCCTCATTCCGCATTTAGTAACAGAAAATTTTAGCATGGAACTTCAAAAAAAATAATAATAATAATAAATATCAATTTTCAAAGAAAATACATGTATCAAAGTGGTTTGTCGACATACCTCAAAAAAGATATATGGAGAGTGGCATAGCAATTCGAATTTTAAACTCTATTTTCATGTATCCTATATCCAAGTCAATATTGAGAACTTTCTCATATAATTGTGATAATAAAACTATATTTTTTTAGCCTCCACAAATCATTCATCATTCAAAAGTTTATCAATAAACAATATAAAGATCTTTAAATTACAAAAAAAAAAAATGAACAAAAGGCATTCCTCAAGCCATCCCTTGCTGGTTTGATTTTTTCCCACGTGAGGCTATAGCCTCAAGTGACCTTGCATGCCTCTCTATGAAGTGAACCTTAAGGTGCATAACTTATAGTGCAGTTGAAATAATAATCATAACTCTATAACTCAAAGTTCTGTTCACATGGTCAATAATCAAATTATGATGTGGTGTTCACCAACTGTCCTCTCCATATGCATTCCATAATATTTCATGAACTCTTTATTATTATACTCCCTTTTATTATATGATATTATGCACTATCTCTGCAAGAAACTTATTATCTACCTAACTTCTCCAGTTTATAAAAGCAGGCATTTTAAATTTATTTTTCATAATATAATCCAATGCCTTTTTTTTTTGGATAAGACGCCAGTGATGATGATTTAGAGAATTGAGCCATTACGGGTTTCCATCAAAAAAGTCCACAAAATAATATTTTATAAGATCCAACCTCTGAGCTTTAAGTTCCAAGATAGTTTTAAAAATAAACATGTCTACATACAAAAAATAAAATAAAATTCTCACAAAAAAAAACAACAAACCAAAAACTTCAATTTTGGATACTTACCTTTTGAATGAGAATTTTCCATCCCTTTTCTCAATTATGTTTAATTCTCTCAAGCATATTCATGAATCAATATTAGTGTTTATAGTTACTTCTTACGTGGTATGAAGTAAATATACAATGTCTTCTAAACTATCAATAATAATCAACACAACACCATCAGTTACCTCCATGTAAGAACTAAAAGTCAAATTATTAAATTCTTCATCAAGCTATCTAATGCAGACCAACTTCCTCTTCAAGTCAAGATTATATCTCATAGTATGAAGTTTCCACGTAGTCTTATTGACAACTTTGATTTGCACACCAACAACATCCACAATCCTAAAATTTTATCAACAGCAAGATGAGCTAAGACCATAATAAGACCATAATAATATTCCGCAGCACTATCAACATTGAGAAATATTACAACATGAATCAAGTTTGATAGCATTCACAAATCCTTTTACATAGTTCAATTTTTTGTTCATCTTTCTATTGCAGGAAATATCTTTTCATTTTATCAATCTGTCAACATTATAGCATGTACCAAATGTGAACTTCGAAAAAAATTATCCTTTAGTTAAAAAGTAGATATCTTCCCTAAGATTTGGATCTCCCTAAACTATACATTTTTTTATAATCCTTCCTTGCTCGAAATTAAAAGTAGAACAAGAATCCCGCCTAATCCTCATCCCCAAATGCCCGCACTTGGGATTAAATCTCAAAAACCAATAAATTTAAGCTTTGTCAGCCCATATGAAGTGTAGACATCAATCCGCCCAGCTTTCTAAAAGTAATGTCAACAAGGTTCAACGCATAATTATTCCCATTGAAGTTAATATCAATGGAGAAAAACTGATTTAAGATCAAATTAAATTCACTGATACGCTTTACAACAATTAACATGTATCACCTATGGATTAAAATATTTGAATTGGAATATATTGTTTAGTATCAATGGCTTCCCAAGTATGTTTGAATGTTTGTCTACTATCATTGAATTCTCATGCATGTTCGAAAGTGTTTACATTATGATTTTCTCTCTGATATTGCAACCCTAAAAAATGTATCCATCAAGAAAACCACAATCTTCTTGTATTAAGAGTCTCATCTTTGCCTCCAAGGAAGGTAAATAAAATTTCATCTAGTATCATTATTCCTCAATATGCATCCCTTCTAAATTTTTTACATTAAACTCATAGATATTTACTATTCCATCATCAACTGCCATTGTTGTCACTTTTTCCCTTTAAAAACTCATAGTTGGCATTGATGCTAGCTGTTGGGAGAATAATTGCAAGAGAACAGAAAAATTATGAAAATTCAAAACATAAAGTAAAAGAAGTTACACATATTGGAAGAAGTATCTCCTCTACAACCACACTCTTACGGAGATATGATTCCATTGTTATCGAATAGACAAATTTTCTCAATCCTTTAATCATTTGAGAGAACACCACAATACTAAATAGGAAAATAAGAGACTAGATGACATGAACCTTAAAAGCAGCAAGTAGCATTCATCATTCACAACAAAAAACATCTTTCTACCGCAAACAAACTTATCCCAGGCATTATCGTTCCAGCATCAATTTTAAATGATTTCCCATGGACAAAAACAAAAAACACAGTGATCTTCCTCTTGTTTTCTCTTCTCTTGATCTCTCTATCTCTCTCTATCTCTCTCATCATTTTCTCCAAAGCACCCACGGTCATTTTGTTTTTGCCATGGCAAGAGAAAAAATTAAATAAAATAGGCTTCATTTAGGACCCCAATTTAAAGTGCTTAAGAGGAAAAAATGGAAATTCATGATTCATTGAGTCAAATTTGTCTGAATCTAAACACAATAACAAAACTATGAATCTTCAATAATTCATAAACTTTTTTGAATTTGTACTAAAAATGGCCATTTTGTAGCTGACGTGAACCCTAATAGTTCCTTTTTGACCATTAGTTAATGTTTAGATCATCCTACAATGATTTTAAAAAATCAATTCTACCTTAATCTCATACAATAACTGGACTAATTAAAAGCTAACGGGACTACATAATCACTACCTCGGTTTAAACTTAGAGATTTTAAATTAGCATAAAATATGGTTTGGGCACTCAAACATTGATCAACCAAATGACAATAGCTTGTAATCCTCAATTAGATTAAAGTTTGGCTTGGGCAACTCATACATTGATCAAAAAAATGACAAGTGGAATCGAATCTAAATGAGAACTCCTAAAATGCAATCCCGAGAAGATGTTTATTATGATAAAATAAAAGTGACTCTAATAAAAAGGGTTCAGGATAAAATCACGATTTAAATAGAATCATATCAAGTCAGTTCCGGTCTTATAAGAAGTATATAATTGATGGTGTATTTCCCTATATAAAACGAAAAAGCAATACTCTTGAACTTTATTTAAGAGAACATAAACTGCTGCAGACCCAAAAAAACCTTAAAATTAATTTCAACCACTCAAACACGACCAACATAACTCATGCTGAAATGATTTTGGTTCAATAATTGTCAAATATGATAAATACATTAAATCTCATCTAGGTTTCTTTCAGCTCATTGATAATGAAACACATCTCGATTTCATCAATACTAACATTGCTAGCATGAATACCAAACAGCCAATTTAGATCCCTTTTAATGCTCACCATAGAATCACAATGCATATATCCTTGTCCAAGTCTAAATCATGACAGCATTAATCTTCAAGCCTGAGGACTCCACCAAATTCATGCATCATTATCCACCTCCCACCCCACCACCACCCATTATCTATTCCAAGCGGAACCTCCCCCTCCCACTACAAATTATCTATTCCAAGGAGAACCTCTCGAATTGATTTTAAATGTTCTTCAACCTCATACCTGTAACAAAATTTTGGAGGTCCTTCCCAATGACTGCATTATGGCAAAGTGTGTAATCATTTCATTTCTATGTTGTGCATTTGTAAGAAATGAGCCCAAACTAAAAGAAGCTACCTTCAAGATCTTAATTGGCGCAAGAATACTTTTTCAAAAGTGAGATGGTCAGGCATGATCTACTTAATGGAGGTGAACCGTCTGCATGACATACTTGGTAGTAGGAACAAATGACAATGTCAATTTCAATAGACAATAAGTTTATCAATCAAAATCCTAGGGAAATAATTCATTCCTAATTTCCAAATGTGACTAGAATATGTCATTATAATGAGAAGAAGCTCAAGAGTGACCATAACTTTACAAAATTGCAACCCTTTTAATGAGTTCTTCTAAAGATGAGTGAGGAAGAAGGGAAATAACTATCATTAATTCGACATAGGTAAAGTTGAAACGTACGACAATAAAAAGAAAAGCCAAGTGCAATGAAATGCACTAAAATTTATGATAGGTAAAGTTAAATAGGTGCAAGAATTTGACAACACACAGTTACAATCAGAACTAGGGGCTCTTTAGTTCATTTTTATATCAAAAGTTACCGGTAAAATCATATTTGTTCGTTTCAGCAATGAGTAGCTCGACATCAAGATGATGTTTTCTCGAGTAAAACAGTACTTCAATTATTATTAAGGCATTTATCACTTCAACATATCACAAATCAAACTTTTGGGAAAAGCTAATAACATAAACAGTAGCAAGAAAATATCAACTAACCGTCTAACAAATATCACTTCGCAAAAAAACCAAAAAAGTCTTATCCATTTACAAATCTAACAGCTAAAGTTTGATACTAGCACTCATAACACTGGTTTCATAAACCTATGCATGAAAAAATGTATTTTGCTTGTAAAAATAATAGTAATTGTAGTATTTTTTTATTGTGATGCTACAGATTTGAGTGGTATGCTTACAAATATGACTTTTTAGGTATTAGATATGTAAATAAATAAGAATTGTGTGGTTTGCCTCTAAAAGTCCAAAAAATTAAACATGGAATCCTGTCAGTCATGCTTGATGAATGTATCAATAATCGAACGATTGCATGTGAAAGGTAAGGAGAAAAAAAAACAACAATAATAACCTTCATAACAATGCAGTCATCTAGCTCCCCAAACTTGCCCATGTATTGCCGCAGCCCTTCAGTGTCTACATCCCAGGGGATTCCAAGAACCTGGAAACATATTCTCAATATGAAATTATAAAGAAGAGGTAAATACATAAAAGAAGGCATTTGGTGAACCATGGGCGGGACACTAACCACAAGCTTGGTCGCCATGCTCGCCAAGGGGAACGAGATAGACAAAAATAATCAACACGGGCGGCCACTCACTCCCACACAATCCGACCAGGAAAAAGCCCCTCTACTCAGCAAATCCTCTCAATATCTCTCAAGTAAAAAACTCTTACATAAAAAAACACTCCTCGTCCGCCTCTCAAGCTCTCTGCACCCTCTCAAAAATCTCTCTTTCTCTCCTGCAGATTGGCACACAACACACAGTGATCTTTCTTTCATACCTAGTTCGTTTCTGGGAACTCTCCTCTTGGGTTGTAGACCAACATAGGAGACGAGAAGAGGATAGAAGAAAAAAGATGAGGGCATTATCACCACTCTTGGGAAAGAGGAGATCTCGCGCTCGTGATGACGCTCTTACCTCGCTCGAAGCTCGCGTAGCTCTCGCGCTTTCCTCTCTATCTCTCACTCTCGCCGTCCGGGCGTCGGGTGGCCAACGCCTTGTTCGCAGCCGCTAACCTTCTCCGCAGAGCAGCGCTTCAACCTTCGGCCTTCCGCCTATGGGTTTATATACGGTTGATCAAAAGCTCGACCTAGGCTACAAGATACAGATCCATTTTTTTTATTATTATTTTTAAAAAAAAATTAAGTTATACTTAGAAATATTCTGAATATAGGAACAATATATGGAGTGATTATGAAGTCCGGACCATTAAACTGACAGAAATGATAAATATTAATATAAAAAATAAGCTTTATTAACCTGCAATTAAGCGTATTATAATGCATAAACTTCATATTTACATAGGTAACATTTATATTTTTAATATAATAATGCAGCAGGAAATTAAGGGTTGGGGGGATGGGCTATTTAGCTACCCCAAAAAGTTGATGCGGGAAAGCTGATTGTTTATTTATTTTTTGCGGTTTGAAAACAACTATAGATTTTGTGCACGTCTTTTTTCCGACTCGACTTATTGACCACCACCGGTCCAATCGGTTTGACCGACCCTCTTCCGTTGATTGGCTGCACACTTCGCCTATTTTGATTGACCACTTCCGTTGGTTCGACCGACTGAACTCCACCCTTTCGACCGATTCGATTGACTGTTTTCTATTGTTCACCGCCCTCGCCAGTCTTATTAACTACTTTCATCGGCTTAACGGATTGATAGTGATCTGTCTGTTCAATTCGATCGACTCTTTTTCATCGGTCGATCAACCATGCCAACTTGATTGATCATTTTTTTCGGGTCAATTGATCAACCACCATCAGTTTGATTGGTTTGACTGATCCTTCTTCATCGATCATTCGCCCACGTGAGCTTCTTCGATCACCCCCAATTTCTTGATCGATCGACCACTGTCGGTCCGATCGATTTGATTGGTTCCTTTCTATCGTTCGTCCTCCCACGCCACCAACTTCATTGGCTCGACCGACCGACCTCCACCAACTTGATTTGTTTGATCAGATCTTTTCCAATCGACCACTTCTCGTCGGCTCAACCAATTGATTGCCAACAGTCTGATTGGTTTATCGACTTCTTTATTTATTGGTTCCCCTTATCGAGTCGATTGACCACCCTCATCAGCTCGACCAATCGATTGTCACCAGTCAGATCAGTCGATCAGCTCCATTTGAATGTCACCTCTTTGTATGCATCTTCCTTACTCCTTGCATGAAAACATTCGTGACATGCACCGTGTCAGGCATCTGTGAGCATATGTCCTCGTATGCTCGTGGTGGATGTTTATGCCTCACTTTGATATGACATTTCGTGCCTATCTCGTGGCATCACTATGTCACGGTGCACCAACATTGTGTTTGTCTTCACCCACATTCGTATCCTTGAAAGTTTTGTTTGCATAACATGTTGTATGTTCGCAGTTTATATGTTTATGGTTTGCACTCTAGTCGTTGTTTACGCACTCACTTTCTACACTTACATGTTATCTTGGGGATGGATTGCACATCAAGCCTACCCACAAGGTGATTCTCCCCAAATGAGAATCACACTCCTTCATTTCCCACCACAGCACTCTGGGTTGCCTTAATTATTTCCATAAGTCACTTTTGAGTCACTGCCTTCTCGGTACACTCAGCCCTCTGAGTCACTTTCACCTCGGCACACTCACCCACGATTCAATGCCTCCTCGGCACACTCACTCAGAGTCATTGCCTCCTCAGTACACTCACCCTTTTGAGTCACTACTTCTCGCACACTCACACTCTTTCGCCTCCTACGCCATCGCCTCGAATTGTTGTAAGCATTTTTTTGAGTACACGACTTTCACCGAGCTCTTTTTAGGCTCCTCACCCTCCAAACTCATCTAACACATGAGTCGTTTTGTCCATTCTCCCTGTGACAGTACCTCACACTATCACGAGCACGTTCCTTGCTTGAGGCATGTGTTTGATTGTCTGCTTACATGATGCACCATACTTTGTATGTGTCTGCCATTTGCATCTGTGTTTAGTCGTTAATGAGGCACCCCAGTAGAGTATTATACCCTAGTCATCCAAACACAATACCATTAGTGCATTGTGGCTCACTCGTACATCTTTACATTATCGGCATATTCGTCGCCAGTATATGCCACTGTATACTTTTGCTAGATATTTGCTATCTTGTAATCATTTCAACATTTATAAAGTGGTTGCAGCACACTAGATCACTTTGCATCTGCATGTGCATCCATGTTTTTTCTCATGGTGAACCTAGGCTTGTTAGCTGAGTGACCCTCTGTTGGTCACAACGCGGTAGCTATTATTGCCAGCGACGATGTCTTGGTAGGTAATACTAGCTATCAAATCATGGACCAACACGCATACGTTGTGGTAAGGTTCTAAGGGATCTAATAGGTGTCACTTGGCTTTTCTTCTTAGATCCTTTTTTAAAAATATACAAATGTATATTTATATTACTTTATGCATCATATTTTCAAAATCTATTTGAAATTACTCGCATCCCTTCCTTAGACCATATATGAGGTCAACATTTTTAAAAGTTTTTCCACGACACTTGCATCTCGTGGAACTCTTAGAAACCTTGGATCCTTAAGAAGGGGCCGAAGATGACGACCCCATCAAGACATACATCAACCTTCTGACTTAGCCTTGCACTTACTTAGATGTTGTGATAGGACTCTACGTTAGATTATTTTTTAGGCTAAATACTATGATGTTAGGCAGACTTTTTTGATATCCTAACTATAGTTATCTGCTGGTTTTTGTTGCTCTAGCCAGACAACACTTTTATGTTGCTTTGTGTGTTTACTGGGTGTGAGACGTGTGCGCTAGCATGTTAGGCGTGGTATTCTTGCAGGGAGCTATTACCTAAAAAACACATACACATTTATCTGGGAGGAGCAAGTAATTATTTGAATTACTAACTCTTTTCTACTTGTGTAGCTAAGCTCCTCCTGTTAGGCATAACTTATATGTGTTGCATGTAAATAACTTTTTTCTGCTAACATTATTTTCATGTAGGTTGAGTCTTTTTTATACTTTTATTATGTATTTTTAGAGTTCTTAGAAGAGACTTGTATTTGAAATTAAGAATGAGCACGAGTTTCAAGATGCTAGACAGGTGGAATCACGTGACGAGAACCAGGAGCTATTTGCTTGTGTCCCGTACCTTACTTCTAAATTTCTTTGATGTATAAAATTAGGACTAAGTGTGTCTTATGTAATGTCTAGCCACCTTTATCTTTTCAAGAATATGTTGTCAACCTAGCAGCATCAGTTTTCCTATTCTTTTGACGTGGCTTGTTTATTTATCTACACTCTTGCATGATATTGTCTGAGAATCGTGCGGAACACGTAGGCTCTTTAGGACCTAAAATTATATGAACTTTTTATAAAATTTTAATAATAAAATTTTGAGACTAATTAAAATTTAATTTAAAAAAATTCATAATTTTTCAAAATCTTTACTTTGTCTTTTGCATGGCATTCAGGCAGGATTTCAAATGTGTTGCAAAACATGGCTTTCGCCCAAGTCATAATTAATAGGCCTCCACATTAGAACTTATTAGACAATTGCATTATTTTGCATGTCCCAAGGAGAAGTCTCCATGCTTCTCCAAACCAACCGACCAAACATAGATTACTAAGATTATTGTCTCGTGAGTTTAGGGTGTTAGAGGCTTCCCCAGCCTAGACAAGGAGTAAGTCCTTGACTTAGAGTGTTTTCAACTTTGTAGTTGGACCTCTCTTCTTTTTTCCAATCCAACAGCATCCTCGTCACTTCAACATGTATAAGTCCCACCTCTGCTCTTCCTACCTACATAGGCTCATAGGATTTGAGTCTCTTTCTCTTGACCTTAGAGCTACCTAGGTCCCCTTAGACGATGTAATTCACAGATTGATGATAAGGGGGTCTCCAGTTATCTTGGGTTGACTAACTTCACGATCATGTATACTTGGGCTCTCAATAGCTTTGGATGACGGACTTGTGGTATACGGACCTGGCTATCTCTACCCGATTAGACTTACTCCACCTTTCATTTGCTGCCCCCTTTGAACTCCGTCTCTCCTTTTAACACTTTGTTGATGTAGTCTCGTAGGCCCCAATTGCGAATAGGTCGCTGCTCATTTAAGATACGGTGATTCACCCTCAACCCTTATGGCCTGGTGAGGTTTTGGAAGCATTGTGTGGACCCTATTGGATGACTTTGTTATTTCATAGGCCCTAGTTGCCGATAAGCTGGCATCTGTATGGTATCTCGAGAGATCCACTCTCTACCCGTATGGATCGACCTGAACTTTGAAGGCATCAGGGTGCTCCTGCGAGATAACCGTCCTTTGTGATCCCTTTACTAGTTGTTATACATCTATAAGCAGGATTTCGTTTAACGAGAGTATTATTGGGCACCCCTAAGATGTAATTAATCAAAGGGAAACATTCCTTTGAGAGTTTTTATTGACCCAAAACAAGAATACTCATTTGAATTTTTGACTGTGGGTTTCTTTCATTGGATCTTATTCGTCGATTTGTTTCTAAGGCGTTTTTTATCATATTTTATTCAGAATATCACACAAAGTTTACTTTAAGAAAGTTCTCCACGTATTTTTTTCTCATTTATTTTCATTATCATATGTCCTTACCTTTGGATTCCTCCCTTCTACATATCATTCATATGATCTAGTAGAGAGATTTACTTAGAAAAAAAAATTAAAACAATAGATAAGTTTGTGACTTCTTCAAAAATAAAAAAGAAAAAAAGAGCAAAAATATGGACACTTGACCAATTAACTATGCAAATTATTATATATGTGTGGACCAGCTTTATCAATCACATTTCTACCTGTTACTTTCCCTTTGTCAGTGTAGTTGTCTTTCATCAATGTAGGTGTAGTCCATTCACTGTGAGATCATCATGGCTTGGTCTCGATCGACGGGATTCTATCATTAGCGTTGTCTTCTCTTGCTAAAATTTCATTTTGCTATTTCACATCAATTTTCATTCACACTGGAAGGTTAGCCTTGTTCTCAAGGTCATAATCTGGATAAATTGCTTTGAGTTCTTCATCAATTATCCAAGTAGATTCCTCTTTAGGTAATCCTTCCCATTGAATGAGGTG